TGTAATAATAATTAATAAATTAGGTTTGGGATATATCAAAATTATTTAATGATATATTCTTAGTTTTAAGTAAACTTTCATTTAAGAAGCAATTTAGAGTTTAGCCATTATTTCAGAAAGCCATATATTTGTAATTAAATATTGGAAGTTAATTAAATAAATGATAACATACTTTTAATATCCTAACTTGATTAAATTAATGTTTATGACTTTTCCAAAAAAAAATTTATAAAAACTATAAAAATAACAGAACCTAAAATATATAAATCTGAGTTTGATGTATATATTTTTTTTATATTTTTTATTTTGTATTTTTTTAATAGGAGAAGTCTAACACTTTGAAAATATTTGGCGTTGGCTAAGAAGGTTTATTTAATAATTTGATAAGCTTTAATAATTAATGTACTTTTTTAAGCGAACCAGTAAGTAATGATATTGAACTTAAAACCTAAATAGATAATCTAGATATTTAAAAAAATATAATTTATTACATAAATATTCAAATAGATGATAATGTCAACTAATTACCTTTTTTGCAAGAATTTAACGATAAATTTAATTAAAATGCCTAGATTTTATATACACCTAAAAATAAAGAAAAAAAACAATAAATTAAAGTTAATAGTTTAACTTTTTAAAAAATCAAATTAAATTAATTTGTTCTTGAAAATTTCGAGTTTTAATTTGATAAAGAAAGTCATAATTTAGAAATATTATTTAATGAGTAAGTATAATATGCAATTTTTAATTAAATATTAATATAGGATTAAAATTTAGATAAAATAAACATTGCTTTTATTAATCATTAGAATATAAAAATTAATGATTTTTAACTTTTAAATTTAAATTTAAAAAATTCTGTTCTATTTGAATTTACGAATATTAATAAAATATCAATTAATTTTTTGAAAATTATTAATTGTTCTTTTGTTGATTCTTTATTAATTTCTATTTAAAATTCAGAAAAAGTTTCTATTGGAGATATTTAAATTATAGACTCTAATATTGATTTAGATTAGTAATTTTTAATAAATATAAAAGAATGTAAATAATTGAATATAGATAATTTCAAAATAAATAATTTATAAAGAAAAAATTTAAAATAGACTAATTAAGCTTCTAGAATTTTATTAGAATCGAATGCATAAAATTTTGATTTAAATGAAGATTATTTTGATTAAATGACTGGACATGTTATCTATTTACAAAAAATTGAAAAAACATTCATGGAAAATCTATTTTTTTAAAAATGTATTGAAATATCTATTATAAAACTTGTTGATTATTTAAGTTCAGATAATCTATTATAAATATTGAAAAATTCTTTTATTTCTTTAAAAAATACAAAATTGGAATAAAATGATTCTTAATATTCTTTAATATATATATAAGCAGATGACATATAGATAGAAAATTTGACTACTAAAGACAATAAATGTCTAATATGCAATGGAAATGCCCTTTATATAAGAAATTGCTTTAAAACGTTAATTTAAGGGTCAAATTTAATCAAAAACAATGCAAAAAACGGAGGAGCAATTTATTTATCTAATTGTAAAATAGGAAGCATTAATACAATAATTAATTCTATTTTTGATGGAAATATAGCATTTGGAAGTGGAGGAGGTTTATATTTAAATAAATGTGATTTGAAAATGGAAAAACAAAATTTTTAAATAATTAAGCATCTATAGGGGGAGGGTTGAGATATAGATAAATAGTCCCTTAATTTGTGATTTAACTATATAATAAAGAATATTTAGATATTCGATTTTCAAATAATACAGCTTTAATATATGGTGATAACTATGGTTCTTATTTATACAAAATATCTGTTTATGATATAAAAGCAATAGACAATTAATATAATGATATGGAAAAAAGCTTTGGTTTTTTTGAGATTATCGACTTTAAAAGTGGAGGAGGGTTAAATTTAAGAATTTAAGTTTTTGACGAAGAAAATAAAAAAATTAAAATAAACAAGGAAAAAATTTTAAATAATATGAATTTCCCAAGTTCTATACTGTAAGAAATACAATAAATGTTTTTGAAAATTGTGCCTGAGGATAACAATGCAATTATAGATGGAAATTCTTAAAAAAACTTTATCGAAAATACTAATTGGGATGATTCTAATTTAATGCTTTCAAACTTTAATATAATATCAGTGCCAGGAAGAGAAAGCTTATTAAGAATTTTAACTAATGAAAATTATTAAGTTCCTTTTTATTTACTAAATTAAAGTCAAGATAAAAAATTATTATAGTCTATAGTAACACAATAGTTTATTGTTAAAATTTAATTTAAATTCAGACTATGTATTAAAGGAGAAATTTACTAAAATGCATTAAATGATAAAAAACTATGTTATCAATGCCCTTAAGGATAATATTCGCTTATACAACCATAAATTGATTTTTAACTAGAATGTAAAAATTGTCCTTTTGAAAAGGCTTTAGAATGCGCTAACAATACTATAATTTTGAAAGATGGCTATTGGAGACTTAACAATGATTCAGATTTGATAGTTTTTTGTGAAAATAAGGCATAAAATTGTATATCCTTAAAAACTAAGGAGGTCATGTGTTAAAAAGGTCATATTGGTCCTTTATGTGAAGAATGTGATAGTTTAGGTAATATAAATATTTATAAATTAAATAAATATATATGTATATATATATAAAAGGTGAAAAATGGGGTATATCGTATTCGAAAATTGGAAAATTAAGTTGTGCACCTTGTGATGAATTTTCAAAGACTTATTTGAGACTATTAGGTTTGTTTATTTTGATAAATTTCTAACTAATAACTACTATGAATATGTTCGTGGAAATGTCTTAAAAAAGTGCTACTGTTAATTATATTAGAAAAATGGGAATGCTTAGTTTTGGTACAAGTGTAAAGAAGGATTATTCGAGTGTTTATATAAAGTTTTTATTGAATTATATATTACTTTAGACTAATGCAATTAAATATAAATTATCTCTTCCTATTTTTGAGTTTACGAATTTTCTAGGCGAACCTGTTGATAACTTAAATAATGCTAATGATTGTTAAATTTTTACTTTCTAATATAAACTTTTAACTAAAGCTATTTTGACGTTACTCTTACCTATTATTGTTTATTTCTGGATGAGTTTCTTGTTTTTGATTTATTTTGTTTTAATTCGTAAAAGAGAATAATTATTGTTTTAAATAAAATAAAAACTTATTATTATATTATAAGTGTGCTTTTTGTTATTTTAACCAAATTTAATTTAATATTTCATTTAAACTATGTCTTGTAGAGAAATCGGTGGAATAAAATACGTAAAGGCAGATTTGACTATAAAATGTTACGAGTTCGAACATAATATTGTCCTTATTGCAAATTTAATTGGATTTTTTATTTGGGTAATTGGTATTCCTTTTTTTAATACTTATTAATTAAAAAAAATAAAAAATCATGAAAATATAATAACTATGTATAAATATGGGTTTCTTTACTCGGAATATAAGAAAAGCTCTGTAGACTGGGAAATAAAAAAAATACATATGAAAACTTATGTAGTACTTTTTTCTAATGTAATTAGTGATTATTAATTAACATAAACAGCTTTGATATTTATAACTTTATTTATTTATTTCATTTATATTGTTTTGAGATAACCATATAAAACTTTACATCAAAATAAAGTGGAAAAATACATTATTGCTTCACTTATTTGTTAGCTTACTTTTAGCTGTATATTAAGAGAGTTTGAGTTTTAGGATATTGTTTCTCAAGTTTGTAGTATTATAATACTGATTATTCATAGTTTTACTTTTTTGGTATTACTTTTTATGATAATTAAATACAAAATGAAGTTTATAAAGGATAGTATGGATAAAATTAATGAAATAGTATAAAAAGTTTAATTTTTGGCTAAACTGTGTAACTTTAAAAAATATATTGATAAAAAAAATAATATTAAGGTTCTGTTAAGATGGAAAAAATTAAGTAGAAATTTAAATGAAGTAACTTTGCAATGTTAAAAATAAAATTTTAATCAGTTTTTAGAAAAAAATAACAGGAGAACAAGTACTTAATAATAAAGATTTAAATCTTTTAATAAAGTAGCCTAAAATTTACTTGCTTAAAATTAATAATAAACTTCTAATATGAAAATAATTGATACGGCTAAAAATTAGGATTAAAATATGATTGATATTATTCTAGAATAATAATAAGAATATCAATAAAATAATTAAAATTAATAATTAATACTAAGTAAATATAAATCAAATAAATATAACTTTCAAAATAATACTGAAAATGATTAGGATAACTAAATTACATAAAATCAAGAGGCTTTCGATATTTAAATATAATCTGGCAAAAATAGTGGTTTAAATTTAATCAGTAAAAAAGATAAGAATGTTATAAATTTTATAAAAAGTGAAAGCTTAAAATTAAACAAAATTGAAAGTACAAATAAAAAATAATTATAAGAAAATGCTTTATCTTTAATTGAAAATATTAACACTTAAAAATAAATTACTTTTTTTGACGATGATTTAAGTTAAAATTTTAATAAAAAATGATTGTAATTAGTCAAAAAGTAAAAATAATCATTAAAAAGTTTGAACAGAATAAATTAATTTTTTTTAAAAAAATATAATTTTATTATAATAAAATAAATATAAATTTTAAAATTGATAATCATTAATTTTTATTTTATTTTTTTGATTAAATAAAACAAAAAATCTATTTTTTTATAAATTTCAAAAATATTTAGATATTAAATAAATTAGATAAATATATTTTATTTTAATTTTTTATATTATATAGATTTAAAAAAAAAATGCAACAAAAATAATAATCTGAAGAAGTATATAAGTAATTAAAATTCATTAATATAAAAAATGTTATTAATTGTATGGAATACTTTAATAATTCACTTTATATTGGTGATGAAAAAGGCACAATTGTAAAATATTAGCTTGATAAAAAAGAAAAAGACTTTCTTAATTAAACCATAAGTATACAATAACAAATTGTGAAAACGAAAATAGACCATATAAAAGCATAGCTATTTGGAAAATATTTAATAGTTTTAGCGAATGAATAATTACATTTAGTAGATTCATAAACCTTGGAATGTAAGAAAATAATAATATAAAAAAATGTAAATAGTTTTGTAACAAATGAATCAAATAAGCATGTAAATGAAATTCTTGTTTCTTTAAAAAAAGGAAATCATAAATTATCTGTTATTTAATTCGATATTAATAATTCTGAAGTTTTTACAGAAAAATATTAAATTAATATTTCAGAAACTCCTTTTACTATGGCTTTTACAGGAAATTTGATTTATTACGGTAAAAATAATTAAATATATTTGAAAAAAATAATTGAATTATAATTTTAAAAAAAATTAAAAGGGATTTAAAAAAAAGAATATTAATATATTAACTTAAAGTAAGGACTTAATTCGGTGGTTTTAGACTGTTTATAAGCTCCTACTAATCCTCTAATAAAAGTTACAGACAGAGATGAATTATTTGCTTTGACAGTTCCTTACAATGTTGGTATATTTATTGGGGTAATTAAAAAAATATATAAATGCGTTTTATTAAAAAAAATTCTTTTAGAAAGATGGACAAGTAAAAATGAAGAGTTCAATTACAGAAATTTAAAATAAGCCTTGTATTTAAGCTTTATCTTAGAAGCCATACTTACTTTTGCTTTATGAAGGAATGCTACAAATATATAATATGATAGACTCTAGAAAAATACAGGAATTCTAAATAAATATAAAAGCAGTTAATATTGCTAATAATCTTCTTTTTATTGCTACAAGTAGTTAGTAAGTTTATTTATTTGAAGAAGTTCCATATGATTAAAGAATAGCTGATTGTTTAAAGCAAGGTAGAATATAAGAAGCTTAGTTAGTCTTTGAATAATAGGTAACAAAAGATGATCCTTTATTTAAAGAAAAATAAGATAAACTAAACGTCGATGCTGGTTGGAGTTTACTTTTACAATTAAACTTTAAGGAAGCTTAAGAAAAATTTATCAAAAGCGAATTTGATATTAGAGAATTAGTTGCCCTTTTTAAAGGTTGCGTCCCTATAATGATGAGTGATAAAATAAAGTCAACCAAAAGTTTTAGGGCTTTAATTGAAAGTTGGGGAAGGGTTGAAGATAAGGCGAAATTCGATTAATTGGAAAAAGAAGGAATTTAAATGGGAATTTCTGTTTTGGAAGAAAAAAGGAGCAGGTATAATGTACCATAATTAAAAGAAAAAATTAAGGAAAAATAAAAATTTGCTTATTCTTAATTTTCACCTAATAAATAGGAAAAAGAAAATGAATTAACATTGCAAAACGTACTAGAGTTAATTGATTTTTGTCTTATTAAATTGTATATTGATTATAAAAAGTTTAACTAACTAATTGATATTTTTAATAGTGAAAGACCGGTTCATTGTAAAGGATTCTTTATGGATCTTAATGATGTGATTAATAAAGATTAGGAAATAGTTAGTAACTATCCTTAAATTATTGCTGCATTTTATGCTAAATTTGATAGAATTCATGAAGCGCTTGAAAAATGGAAAGAAATAGGTCAATCAGATTAGCCTAAATAAGTAGAAATGGCATGTACAGAATCAATTAAAATACTTTAAAAATGTGAAGAAAGGTATATATTTTTATAAAAATAATATTTTAAAAAAAAAAGTAAAACTATTTTAGAATATTTAACATGGATATTAAGAAAAAATCCTGTTCATGCAAAAACACTATTTTAGAATGTTTCTGAAAATATTCTATCTCCAGATATAGTTTTATTATACATAAGTGATCGAGTTTATAGCAAAAACGAGCAATCCTAAGCTGAAAGATTAAAAGAGTAATATTTAGAAATCCTAGTAAATGAAAGAAAAATAGAAGAAAGAAGATTCCACACCTAATTAGGTACTATGTATATAGAAACTCTTTTTAAATCTATCCCTTATGAAACAAAAACTATACAGGCTAAAACATAATTGACTAGCAATGAATAAATATCTAAAGTTTACAAATAATTAAATAAGTTTTTGAAGGATTCTAATGCTAAGTATTCAGCTAATGTTTTGCTGGAAAAAGTTAAGGATAGTTGGCTTATTTAGGAGGAAATTTATTTATATGGAAAGGAAAAAAGACATGATGAAGCACTTTAAAAATTAGTAATTTTGAAAGAGTTCGAATGGGCTGAGGAATATTGCGCAGGTCATACCGATAAATTACTAACAAAATTGTTTTCAATATATCTTAAATATTTAAAACAGTTAAAAGAAAGAGCAAATAAAGAAGGAGATCCTGACAAATATAAATATATAGAGTTAAAATCAACATTTGAAAATATGTTGAACCTTTTTATTAAAAAATATGCTACTCATCCTTAATTAGATTCACTTACTGTTTTGAATAGCATTCCTGATGATTGGATTTTATGTGAGGATTCTTAGAAAAATGAAGACGGATTATATAGTTGTTTAACTTAAATTATTTCTCATTCTTTACATTAAAGAAGGTAAATGAAAGTCGCTAAAAATTTAAGTGATATGGATACTTAGAATGTTATATGTGATTTAATTAAAGCTAAATAAGCTTATGTAAGGATTACAGATGAAAAGAAATGTATTGTCTGCCATAAATCTATTGGGGATAAAAATATATGCGTATATCCTAACGGAGTAGTTGTGGATTATAAGTGTGTTAATAATGGATAGTCGTTATGTGTATGTCCTTAAACAGGATAGGATTTCGAAAAAACATTTAGAGGATGAATTTTTGTTAGCTAATAGAAGAAAAAATATTATATTTTTTTATTTTATTTTTTTAAAATAAATAATAAAATTTATCAATCAATTTATTCAAAAAAATTAAACTTGTTATATTTTATAATATTAAATTTTAAAAGAAACATTCCGTATTTTTTTTTTGAATAAATATATAAATTAAAAAAAGTAAAACTTAAAAAAAATATAAGCTTTAGAATTTCCTATTTAATATATATATTTTATAGTAAAATGAGTTAACAAAACCAATCATATATTTCATAATTCCCTAATATTGAAAAAGAACTTGAATTAGTATAACGAATAAATAACTTTAGATATTCTCCTCTCCCAATTATATCCTCTTTAATTTCCTAATTATAATCACTCGACGAATCCCTGACATTAAATTATTCGGAATTAAATAAATTATCACAAATAAATAATTAAGAAATAATTTAAGATTTTATTAATTACCTAAATATGCATAAAACTGAATATTTTTCTGCTTTTGACTATGATTCAGCTAAAAATATAGAGTTTATAGAAAAAAATAAGCATTAAATGTTAAATCAAGAAATTTTTCTTTAAGGATAATATTAAAATTTTGTAAGTTATAAAATAAAAAATATTAATTTTTTAAATTCCGACTAAATAATTATATTGATTCTTGTTGAAGAATACTTACTTTTGCATTCATAATAATAAGACTCTAATAATATAAAGATATAATATGACTTTTATTAGCATTAATAATTAGGTTTATTAAGCAATTAATATAATACAATATATGCATATATTAATCATAAAGAAGATAAAGTATTTGATATTTATATTAATTTGATTTATGATAATAATTGTAATATTATAAAATCGATTAATAGTAATACTTTATTATAATCTCATAGAAGAGATAGGCTTAATTTATCACTGATTCCTTCTAAATACTAAGAGAAAATTTTCAAAACAACCTAAATACCAAGAAACAGTATTGTTAATTTAGTTGAACTTATTGATTCAAATAATGACGGTAAAATAACAGTCGAAGATATAATAAAATTCTCTCATAAAAATTATATTTTTTTTCCTGAAAATGTCATATAATATATAAATAAATATTTAAAAAATAAAATAATAAAATAAATAGATTTATTAAGAAATGTTTAATGATGCAGCAAAAACAAGAAGAGTTACATTTGATTATTAATATTAGGACCCTATATCTGTTAACGAAATATGGATGGCAGGTAAAAAATAATTATTTTCTTCATTAACTATGTTTTTAATATTATTACTTATATAGTATAGCTACATTATAAAATTAATAATAATCATGATTGGATAGAAAATCCTAAACCTTATAGAAATTATTGGGTTATTCTTTTAGAAAAAGCAGGAGAAAACCTTCCTAAAAAGCACGATCTGCCTAAAATTAAAATTTAACCTGTTTTCGACTTATATCAAAAACGAAAATAAATATAAACTTTTTATCCATAAACTTCCGTTTATAATTCTACTGTAAAATAAAATAAAAAATTAATATATATATTTATTTTTTAAAGCTCAAAATAAGTGACTAATTAAAATGTTCATATATAAGTTAATGTAAACCAGAAGCAGGATTAACAATCCATAATACAAATTATATAACAGAATCAGCAAAAATGAATGAAAAAAATAATTAAAAGGAAATAGAACCGTTTGAAAAAGTTATAAATATAAAATTCAAATAAGAAGAATAGTAATAATAACCAATTATAAATTTTGATACAAAAAATTATTTCAAAGAAGCACATAGGTTATCTATTGACCCTCAAAAATATAAAAAAGTACCTAAAAATCCGATATTATTATATGTCCCTGAGAATTTTAATTTCAAAGCAAGCTAATTAATATAAGAGAAAGAGTTAAAAAAATAATAATTACTTGGCTAATAATAATAAACTTCTTCTAGAAAATTTAAGAAAAAGATTTAGACTTAAAGTTAATTTAAATTTAGCAAAACTTTAAAAGAAAACTCTTCTTTTTATCCTTATGATATTTTTGATAAGAATTTTTTTACTAGAAAATACTAGGTAAATTAAGTTATTACTAATCAAGAAATGGAAGTAGATAATAATATTTTCACAACAACTTTTAAGCTGGAAAATTGCACGTCTTTGAAATAAAAATTAGCAAAATAAGATAATAAAACAGATCCATATAAAGATTTTTACAAATAAATTATAAGGGATGAGTTTGTTTATGATAAATTCTAACCACCATATATAGTTAATATATATTAAAAATAATTTATATAATTTTTTTTATTATTATATAAGACAAGGTTTAAATGTGATCCTTTGCCTAATAGATATGGAATGTCTTAACATGATAGTAGACCTAAAGAAACTATAGTAAATGAATAAAAAATACTTTAAAAAAAATTAGATGAAGAACAAAAAAAACTAAATGAATAATTAGGCAAAAAGTAACGAAAAGAATGGGTAAAAGAATTTAAGGTAGCAGATAAATAACATAATATTGGTGATAAATAAAAAACAGAATTTATTAATTAAGGAGGAGCTTATTATGAGCCCGTTTAAATTATTCAAAGTTTGCTTAGATAAGAAGGGGATTTTAAAGTGCCATTTAAGCTTGCTATTAGAGGTCTAAGGGCAAACGACAAAAATTTATTTTTAGGATAAACGAAAGAGTCAAAGTTTTGAATTTATTTATTATTATTAATATAATTAAAAATATTTATATCTATTTCATATTAGAAATCCAATTAAGTACATAACTTAATATTATCGAATTATTTTAAATATAAATATTATTTTAAAAATATTTAATTATGTAAAAGAATGATTTTTATTAATATCTAAATAAATATTTTTATACTACAATTTTTTTTTTATAAATAATATTATAAATTAAATATAGGTTAAAATACTTTTAGTATTAAAAATTTAATTAACTAATTATCTTTTGTTTCTTATAATTATTTATCTTATGACTTCAATATTTTTTAATTTTTAATTATTTGATTTTGAAAAAACTTATTTTCTTGTAACAAACTTTCATATTTATTATCAAAATAATAATTTGAAAAGATATTAGTAAGAATATGTTTAATTTTGATATTTTTTATTATATAAAAACTATTATTATAAAATATTGCTTTATCATTTAATTTTTATAAATATAGTTTTTTATTCTTTATATTAAATAATTCAATTTTATATAAATTATATTTAAAATAAATAAATATAAAACATAATATTTTTTTATTTTATAATAAATAAATAACTATAATTAAAAAATAATCACAATAAAAAGATATTGAATTTTATAAAAAGTCAATTTTATAACAAATTAATATAATGAATTTTAAAATATTTTTTCAATGAATTATTTTATTTATTCTTAATTCTTCCCAAAACTCATCTTAAATTTTTATTTGAAAACATTCCACATTTTGATTAACTTCTTATTCACTTTTAGCCCCTGGAATAACAGCTTTTACATTTTTAAACTAAAGTGGATATTATAAAGCTGCTGCTTAGATTGGAATATTAAATTATTCGCAAACTTATTTAATTTTTTTCACTTTTTCATTAATTTATTCTGTTGCTTTTGAATAATAATAATAATTATTACTTCCAGCCAAGATACCACTACAATACGGGGCTGCCACAATAATATTTATATCAAAAAAATTCGGAATTTCTAAAAATCCTTAATCTAATAAAGTCGGAGTTCCCGATATCATAAGAAAATCGGCATCATTTTTTAATAAATCATTAATATATTTTTCTATGTATTTTTTATCATTATTACCATTTATACTTCCTCCAAAAGCTTTGATTTTTTTTTCTTTTTTTAATTATTTTAAAGCCTCTATTCCAGCATTTTAACCTTCGAAAAGTTATTTGTAATAAAAATCTATTTAATCTTTATGACAATTAGGCTCTAAATCATGAATTATTAATGTATCAATTTTACTTTTGCTCATTCTTAATAAACTATCTTAATGTTATTTTAAAATTGAATCTTTCTAATAATCAAATTATACTTTATATGGGGCTCTTTATTGCCATATTTTTTACATTATCAAATCTTTTTCAAATTCTTCGTCTGGAATTAAAAAACGGCCCACTTTTGTCGATATTTAATATTCAATATTGGCATTATGTAAGGCTAATCCTAATCTTTATTCACTTAAACCAGTTCCATACCAAGGAGCAGTGTCAAAATATGTTATTCCTTTTTAAATTGAAGCATTAATAACTTAAAAGGCTTATTCAGTGGAAATTGGTGTGTATAAATTTCCTATGGATGCACAACCTAAGCCTATTTTTGTTATGTTTAATTCAGTGTTATCTATTTTTGATTTTGGTATTTAGTTTTGCATTGTTTTTTATTTTTAAATTCTAAAAATATTAAATTTTATTTTATTAAAAAATAAAATTTATTTATATTTTAAATTTTATACATATCTTTATTTAAATAAATATAAAAAATATATGTATATGTTTTTAATTTGTAGTTTAATTATATTAGATAAAGAAAAGTAAAATTAATTTACATACAAATGAGTAATTAAGACAGAATTTATTATTTAACTTTAGATCTTAAAGATGATTAAAATCTCATTTAATTGTATGAAGAACATCATAAAAAAATATGGCCTGAAATTACTAAAGGAATTAAAGATTCAGGTGTATTAAATATGTAAATATATCGTGTTTCAACTCGTTTATTTATGGTAATGGAAGTCGATGAATATTTCAGTTTCGAAAAAATGGAATAAATGGATAAAAATAATTAAAAAGTTTAATAATGGTAAAATTTAATGGATTAATTTTAATAACGTTTACCCTATGCATAAAATGGAGAAAAGTGGGTTTTATTATAAAAAATTTTTGATTTAAAAGAATAATGATTATAAAATGTATTTACATATTTTTTTTTTTATTAAATATCTTTTAATATATATATAAAAGTTAAATTATATATTTATACAAAAAATTAAATGCAAACTTAAAATATTAACAAAATACCTATAATTGATACTCACGTACATTTATGTTTTCCTGAAAAAATAGACTATGTCTTGGCTTAATAATACCCAAATTTATTTAAAAATATTCCTGAAGAAAAATATATAGAAGATTAATAGAATTTACCTTTAAAAAGCTTCATTTTTATGGAAATGAACTCAAAACCGGAATTCTATTTACAAGAAGCTAAACTACTTTAAGAAATTTCTGAAAAAAAAGAAAGCAAAATGTCAGGCATAATACCCCATGTCCCTATGAGAAATGAAGAAAGTTTAATTTAGAAATATTTAGATGAAATTTAGCATAAAAAATTGGTTGGAGTTAGATTTTTATTGAAGTTTTTGGATAAAAATGATCTTTTTTACTTAGATTAATAGTTCTCAAATAATTTATAAATTTTAAATAAATATGGACTGCCTTTCCATCTGAATAATTTGGAATATTAATTACCTTATTTTGTGAAACTAATTCAAAAAAATCCTGAAACTACTTTCATTTTGGACCATTTAGGTACTCCTTAGGATAATTTTTAATTTTGGGCATAAAATATGAGTGAATTATCTAAATTTAGTAATCTATATTTGAAATTGAGTCCTGGATTTGACTGTTAAGCTGATTATATTGTAAATTCGTAAAAATACATAGATTTTGCTCTGAGTACTTTTAGAAATTCTAATCTTATAGTTGGTTCTGATTATGGATTTGGAGGGGTAAATGTAAAATTTGAAGATTGGGTAAATTCTTTAAAGAATGAAGTTTAGAAAAAAAATATTTAATATGATTAAATTGAAAATATTTTCTATAAAAATGCAGAAAAAATATATAAATTAAATAAATAATTATGATATTAAAAATTTAATAATAAATATAATTATATAAATAAAAAAAGAAAAATCTATTAAAGAATAAGAATTTTTTTTTTTATTATTAGACAACATTAATTAAAAAGATTAATTTTTATATTTTAAATAATCATTTATATTAAGATTTTTAAAGCATTTTTATTATTAAATTATTTTTTAAAGCTTTAAATATTCGTAATCCTAGTGTTTTTTTATCAACATTTTTAATCAGGAACTATATATAAGGAATGTAATTCTTTATTTTCTTAATAGAAATTTTTTTATGCACAAGATTTGTACTGACTTAATTATAAATTTAAATATAAAACATATTGCTAGAAAACTTTAAAAAAATAACAATGTATTACGGAGGATTAAGAGTCAATACTGACCTATAAAAAACACACAAATCGTCTTAATTACTATTATTATTAGAAAAAAAACACTAAACTATGTATTTTTATTATCGAAAAGGTTCTAAAGTTAATTATTTTTAATTTTATTAATAACTAAATTTTCAGAAACTTTAATTAAATCGGACATTCTAAATTCACTATTTTATATTTTATATAAATAATGCTCATTACACTTATTCTAGTTATTATTATGTTTAATAATATTTAAAAGAGGCAATTTTTAATTAAAAGTAGTATTATTTGAGAAATTTCTCATTCTGACATAAAATTTTATTTTTTTGGCATCTTTTTCTCCCATTTTTGAAATAATTTTTTAGTTTGGAGCTTCTATTAAAGTTTCAATTAAAACATGATTTTGATTATTTTCTAGAATAAAAGCATGTTTTTGAACTAACTGTCTAATAATTCCTACATGATTATTAATAGAAATTCTTTTTGAAGGTAAAAATTATAAAGAAATTATTATATTTTCCCATATTTTTATTTCAATGAAACTTTTTTAATAATTATTAAGTACATAAGCGAATGTTTTTTTCAAATTTATTGTGAAAAATGAGGTTGTAGATTCGTTTAAAGTTTAAAAATAAGCAGAAAATTGTTCGTAATTTTTAAAATTGCAATTTAATGAATCAGTTATATACAATTCTAAAATTTTTTCTTTTATTATTTTGTTTTGGATAAAATTATGAGTTAATTCTTCTAAAATAGTCGCATATTGAATCCAATGTATATATTTTTAACATGTTTTTTATTCATATATTTCTAAGCAAAAATTTTCTAAAATCTCATATTAATAAAAACTTATAACAAAAAAATTTTAGCCAACTCTTTTACTTTGTTAAAAAATAAAGCGGGCACTTCTTTCTTCTTTTTATAAATACGAATTATTTTAATCCTTTATTTTTGTACTTTTATAATATATTTCATCATTATTTATACTAAAACCTTTATAAGTATTTTCCTTTTAAAATGTTAATTTTCTAGATATTTATTTTCCGATTTTTTAAAGACATTGAATTTCACAAATTTGATTAAATTGTATTCCTGTTAACATTTTTACATCATTATTGGTAAGTTTTAATTTATAAATTTTTGTTTTCATATATTTTAAAGGTTATAATATTAAATGAAACTATTATTCTTCTTCGAAAATTAAATTAATTTGAAATATTAATTTATCCATTTTTTATAATATTTGAATAGATTTTTATTTTTCCTTTTTCAAAATTAATTATTTTTGACTAATGAAAGCCTCTATTTTTGAAAAAGCTATCTATAATTTCATGTCTATATTCATTTATAAATTTTAAAATAATACTTTTTATATTTATTCATATTCATCTCTTTATAAGTAATAAAGTATTTAACTTTTTTATTAGAAAAGTCCTTTTTAGCATTTTATGAATATGTTTTTGTGGTCTTTTTTAAAAATTGTTATTAATTATTTGCTTTTATGTTTTATTTATATTTTTTGCATTTTTTCTGTCTTATATTCTTTATTCTTTTTTTATAAACTATTTAATTTCAAGTTTTAACGAAAAATATAAAAGTTATTAGAGACTTTATTTGATATTATTATTTATTTATAATTTATTTAATTCTTTTGTATATTTTATTTTTTATTAATATATGTTTCAAATCTTTATTTTTTAATTGTTTGTTTTTTTATCTGGCTCTAAATAGTTTATTAAAAGTTATTACTAAATTATATTTTATTTTATTTATCTGAATTTATTAATCCATATTTTTATTATTCCAAATTTAATTATTCTTCAATTTATTATTCAGAATTTTATTATTTATATGGCCATAAAATTAAAGATAAATTTTAAATAATATTAATTTACTCATATTCTAAAATATAAAAAGATTTATTTGAATAAAACTTATCATCATATTATGGAAAAGACAAATTCAAATTTTTTAAAAAAATGTTGTTTTTTTTTTTTTTTTAATTATTTATGTATAAGAATAAGCCTATTTAATTATTATCATTAATAAAAAGAAATTAATTCAAATTTTTGATTATTTATAATTTCTACGAAGGTGTAAATCCCATATTAAATATAAATTTTTAAAAATTAAATTTTAAATTAAATTCATTTTTATTTACAAACCATTTTATAAAATCTTTATATTTCATTTTAATTATTTCGATATTTTTATTTTTTAATGATTTCTAATGTATTAATTATATACTAAATTCTGAAAATTTTAAAGCTGCTTTTTAATATAAGGTCGTTTGTAGAATTTCATTAAATTAAAAATAAATTTCTAAAAAAAATATGTTTTTTTATTTTTATTAAAGACTTTAAAAATAATTTATTATTTAAAAATGGGTTTAAATAAAATTTTGGAAGATTAATTATTAATTTTTCATTTGTTGCATTTATAAAATAATCTTTCTTATGCTAAAATAAAATAAAGAAAAATAAATAATTTTAATAAATATAAATTTTTACATCTATATAAATTGCAGGAGGTGGTATATAATTTAAAGTACTTTTGCGGGACCCAAAATAATAATTAAATTAAATGAATTCTGTCATAGATCTATTGTTAAAAGAGTTAAAAGAATTAACTTTGTTAATCTAATTCGATAAATCTAACAAAGTCTTTTTGTCAATACCTATATCATTAATATTTTATTCATTATCTGTTTTATGCTTATTTTTTATGGAGATTTTATTTTTATTATAATTTTCATTTTTTTTAGAAGCCCTATCTGACTAATAATGGGAGCCTCTATTTTTCTATAGATGTATATTTTTATTTTAATCATATTAATAATTATTTGAAGCATATTTACTAAAAATACTTTTGTTAGATTTTGGTTGATTTTTTTAAGCTAAATCTATGCTAGTAAGAGTATCGTTTTATTACAACTATTAGTTAATATTACTAATATTATTATTACTTTTAATATTATTACTATTAATATTGTTGCTATTATCATTTTAATTCTATATAATTTACTATTCATTATAAAAACTTTCATTTAATTGATATTGTTTTATATACTAGTTTAATTGTTCTTGTTCTTTTTTAAATTAATCATATTTTGCAAAGGCTTCACTAAAATTGTTGTTTTGCTAATATATTGATTGCGATTTTTCTAGAATAAAATTTTTATTGTTACTAATATTAGTATTTAGATTATTTTTAAATGTTTCAAATTCATATGCGTTTATATTTGGGAGATATTTCTATTTTTTTTATTCAATTATTGATTTTATTTACTTTGCTGGTTTAGGACTATTTTTATAAGAAAAAATAGGTTAATTTTGTTCATCTAATATGCTACAGCTTTTTGGAGAACAATCATCTAAAGATTTTGTTTTTTATTTAGCTAAGTTTTATATTTGCTTTTTTAATGTTTAAATATGTTAAACATCTTATAACTATTTTATTTAATTCAACTTTTATTCACTGTTTTTAAACTTATTATTCTGTTTATTTATAAAAGGAGATAAAGCCATATCTATACCTGGAAAATTGATAAATTTATTATTTATTTCATTATATTTAAAACTATAAATTCTATAGATTTATTCTACATCAAACTTTTATGGTTAAATTGATAATGAGTTTTGTATTTCTTTAACTAATAACTATTTATTTAAT